AGCTCGCCATCAAACATCCCATGCACAAGAAGAAGATCATACTCGCCGTTACTGATCTAATGGTATATTAGGGTCTTCTGCTATAAATTCATTAGTATACAAAGCTTAAGTAACAATTAAACGACTCTTGTGCGGAAACAGTACCAGCTAGTCTTGCAGCAGTGCGACACTTTTGTCAATCGGGTTTTGACATGAAATAAATCTTCCAAAACTGAGCGCGTAGAGGATACCTTTGATTTGAATTTCGCTAATTTGTCGGGAAATCAGATTTTCGTCTTCCAGATGTTTCGTTATTTGAGTGATTCCATTGTGTTTGGAGTATAAAGAGATTCGTTGTATGTCAGGGCGGTCACGGAGACCCGCTGCTGAGCCAGGCGGGGTGCCTGGACACGGCGTGGGCGCTGCGGTGGTTGGAGGACGCGGGCGTGTGCGGGGCGCGCGGGGCGGCGGCGGACGCGGCGCTGGACGGCCGCCTGCTGCACCGCCTCACCCACAACGAGCTGCACACGCATCTGCGCGTCACGCACGCACTGCACGCGCTCTCCATACGTAGAGGTATACTATCTGCTCTTACATATCATGTTCTACATCTCTGACAAATTCCATCAAGATCTATGAAGCCGTTCTAGAAATACCTTTCAACAAACATTGTGCCAAATCTCAATATCATATGGTAAACCGTAGCACAATTAACGATGAAATATGTGAACCTACCGTATCTCACGGGAACCGTACACACATCCGAGGTCATAGGTAGCCTGTGTGTTCTTCCAGACTGTGTTTTATATGCATGGCAAATTCGTAACTGTCTATGTTTATATGTACCAAGGTATCCAAGTGTTGCGCGAGAACGAATTCAACCCGGAGACGATGGTGCGGCGCGCGGCGGAGGGCGAGGCGCCCGCGGTGGAGGGCGAAGCGCCCTCGGAGCGCGCGCCCGCGGACCTCGCGCGGTGGTCCTCGCACCGCGTCATGCAGTGGCTCAAAGAGATAGACCTCGCGGAGTACGCACCTAACCTCCGGGGAGCCGGTATGTTCTTACTTCATCGTCACTAGGTGCCACCACTACAGTTTTTTATTTTGTTACATTACCTGCATAGTTTATTGTGAAATGTCTATATTAAACTAAATTTCAAAAATATGAATTGAACCGTTGCGGAGTTACCTCCTTTCCATTTATAATATTAGTAAGATGTTTTTTTTTTTAATTTGTACACGTCGATGTTATATCCAGGTGTGCATGGAGGTTTGATGTTGCTGGAGCCGAGATTCACAGCGGAGCTGCTGGCCGCGCTGCTCAACATACCCGCCAACAAGACGCTGCTGCGCCGACATCTCACGCAAAGGTCATTTACCATACTCCCATATTTATCTACCCTAATTTATAAGATAATAATTATTAATAATTGAATTAACAGGTTTAACGATTTACTCGGTCGAGAAGTGATACAGCAGAAACGGAACGCGGAACAAACACTAGGCTATCAGCCGCTCACAGCAACTACCAAATATAAGGTACGAAACTAATTAATATATCTATATAATATATATTATAAATTAGAAATATTGGATGGATTGATGTATGGATGTTTCTCACCAAGTAAAACCAGAACGGCTGAACAGATCTGGATGAAATTCGAAATGAAAAAAAACAATAAATTATTACTTTTTAATTCCATGAGAAATTATTAATGGAAGTGGTAAAAATTCCACCTTTACTTTAACTAACAGTTGTGAATAAAGTGAATTTTGACGTTTTCAGGTACCAAAGAAGAGCCAGTTCTCATTGAAGCGCAAGAAGAGCCGCGAGGACCTGGAGCTGGGCGAGCTGGTCTGTCCGCTGCGGGAGGACGTCTCAGGTGACGCCGCCACGCCCGTGAGTCAGCACCACTAACACACTAACCCCCCACACCCCCACTTCGAAAATTTTACTTTAGTAAACGAATATATTATTTTACTAGTGATCGCCCGCCACTTCGTCATTGCATAATAAAAAAAAAATAGCCTATAACATGCCGCGTACATCAGTTAAATCCCGTCAAAATTGGTCTAACCGTTCCGGAGATTACATGGAACAAACGCAATCTTGTGGACAGACAGACAGGCGATAAAGTTATAAAATTGTTCTTCGTTATTAGTTTTATTTTTCGATATTATATTCAGACATTCAAATTTTATTATCAGTTTAGATATGAAAGCTACATATAATTATTATGAGGTAACGTTTTTTATTGATTTTAGTTTTTTTTTCCACCAGAGGTCGCAAAATATCTATGTTTTTAATTTCGGTAAACTTTTTTATTCTTTTGTTTATTGCACAATCTCAAACCTTTTTATGCATCGTAGAATTAGTTTTTGGTGTTTGTTTTTAATAACAATGTTAACAAGGGTGTTCTATGGTTTTGGTTTTGCTTTCTTCTTAATGTTTAAGCAGCATTTGGAATATAAATAAAAAAATATTTAATATACATTTGTTTTTCATTATTTAACAAATAATTGAGACACCTTTGAAAGGTATAAAATTCCATTACAAAAGTAGCTAACTTTATTTATGTTTATTATATTAATTAAGCCCACAATAGCTCATGCTTAAATATAATCATGCGGTCATGGGTTCGATTCCCGACATTAGACTAGTCATGTATAATATCATATAGCAAGTTTCAAAAATCTGTTAATATTATGCTAAAAAAATGTTTCAATGTACAGATGATGAGAGCAAAGTCAGTAGCGGGCGTAGAGTCGGGTGTCTCTCCCCCGCGTGACGAGAGCCGCGCACAATAGCGTCTGCGACCGGTCTCGCTCAGCGCTATCGCCGGCGAGACTGTGCTCTAACACCACAGGTAACGACCATTTGCAGCTAAATACGCATTAACTGCCATCCCTACTCACAGCACTAAAGGAGCTGCTGAGAGATCGAACAGTGTCAGTTATTGATTTAGTGTTGGACGTGTATCCGAACTTTTTTGACATTTATCGATAAATACGTGTTGGATGTGTATCCGAACTGTCATATGGAATATCGAACGTGTATCCGAACGTCTGTCACAAAATTAAGGTTTTATATTTATAGGAACCCTATGGTGTGTTTTAAATTTAAAACTTTTTAATGCATCGTTAATTTTTTTTATATAGTAACGCATGTTGAATAATTTAAAAGCTGTGTAGTAAAATGTTTAGACAGAAATTAATAAGCAGGAATAGTATCGAAATTGGCAACTCTAAAGATTAAGGATATACTTTGGACACTATTATTAAGTAAAAAAAAATGTTTTTAATATAACCGTAATGACATTTTGACATATTATTTTAGGCATGTATAATTTTTTAACACGACTTATTAACACTCTTTTGGCAAATGTAGCTTTCGTGACCTTTTATATTTGAGTGGTTCAATTTGGTAGCTAGCTTTGATATCAAAGAGTATTTTGTAAGTTTTGCTTTAGCCTCTAAAGTCGGTGCTGAGTTTTATGAAACATATTGATGTATTATTTTAATAAAATTTTAATATAAGGTCAATGAGTTGTCCGAAGTATACATTTATAACTGTAAAAAAATTAAAAAATATATCAGCGAAGTCTCTTACTGCCAAATACAATGTAATGAATTTATCGATTTATAGTTGATAAGAACAAACGATGTTATATTTTAAAAGATTATAATATAAATTATAAAAATAATATAAGTAACTTAAGCATCTGAACATGTATCTCGATTGAAACAATATAAAGCTGTTTATCGCAATAGACATTCCAACAAATTTTATAATGCCACTTCTATTCATTAGATGCAGTTAGCAAATGTTACATGTAACTCTAACATAACTGTTAATACAATTAGGGATGTTAGGAAATAGTTATCGATATCGATTTAAAAAAGTTAATATTCCTAATTTGAATTCGCTAATACAACATTTATCGAATATTAGTGTTATTGGCACGCCGAGTGCATTAACTTCTGCCAATTAAAAAAAAACTGGTACATTGTCTATTTATATAATCATCGAACATCCCTAAACTGTTTGTAATATAATATATAGTGTTGTTACTAAACAGTACTTAGTACAATGTAATAGTGGTTTATAAATAAATATATGACTGAAGTGCGACAATATTCAAAGTGACTTTTGCCGCGAGTTTTTCTTAGTATAAGTAAGTTTACGAGTTGTTTATACTTGATGTAGACAACGTTGAGTTTACTGAGTTTTTCAATTGTTAGAGTTTGAGAACTTGTATTTATACTGTATTAAATTCAATACTAATATATTTATTATAAGGTAGTTATTTATTCGCCTAATGTATGGCAAAGGTTTGCTCTAAGGGATGTCATGATTGGATTTCAAGGATAAGGGGCGTTTGACTGAAACTAGCCAAAGAATAAGTATTGTATATTAGTTGATTTTTATGATGAGTTTTAACATGGATCATGTCAGATTTTATGTACGAATTTTGTTGTATAACTTCCACTATTTACATATTAATTTATTGTGAAGAAATTAATAAAGCTGATTTTAATCAAAATAAAAAAAATATTTTATGTGACAGGCAATGAAAGTGTCTTGATTCATTGTTTTTAAACTTTTACTAAAAAAAAAAAATTATTCATATTTGACGTTAAATGTACCAAAATAAAATCGAACAAATTTACTGTTTGGTTTAATAAGTTTGAATTTAAAGAAAACGTCGTTTAAGTCAAACGCTCCTTTAATGAAAGAAATAATTAGATTGGTATACTTTATGTGTTGTCATTTTGTACGTAATGTTTTTGAGATGTTTTTTTTTATTTACATTGTATTAGAGATCCACAAACCTGTTCCTAAAAGCTGTGCCAACGTACGAAATGTATGACCACTGTTATAGACTTTTGTCTTCCATAGCATTGTAACGAACATCAATACGATAAAGCAAAAATAATCGTACATGTTGTATTAAATAATTTTTACAATAAATTAAAATACTAAAATATGCAATGTAAAAAAGTTAATAAACACTGGATCAACATGATGACTTTTATATTTCTATTTATGTTTATGATTAAGTACGGATTGCGATTTTTCATATGTCCCTTCGCTTGTTTTCAACACCTTTAGACCCTCTGGAACAAAAAAAAACATGTCATTGTCGATTGATAAATCTAAAGAAATATTTATCCCCCAAATAGTTAGCCAGTTGTAGCACAACTTACTTATCGCGGGTTTCTGAGACCGAAATCCTTGTGTATGACATTTTTATGTCTGTTTTGTCAAAGATATTGAGAGTGGTGACGGTATTATTCAGATTTTGATGTCAGAAACCCACTATAAGTAACTATCTTCATAGGTATATAAAATTGGATTTTTGTATAAATTTTTATCACTATCGAATCTTATGTCCCAGTTGTCAATTATTAGATCCATTGATAATTTTTATAATTATTCCTATAATTTTAACATTGAGAAGTTATTTTTTGTGTACCTTCTGCTCCGCGACTGGTACGAATAAATAGTTTTCTGTTTCGGGAACTTATGTTATGAAAAATTAATATAATTCACCAGCAGATCTTGCGCAGCCCATTCAACTAGAAGCGACAAAGAGGACATTAAATCCATTTGTTTGTACCAATTCTCTATTATTTTTAAGCTCATAACCTTACCTAAGCACCTCGAAATATGCAGCTGTCTGTTGGTCTATTGAGATCTACGAAAGTTTACACAGATGTACATACCTTTCCCCCGACCTTTTCGTCGCAACTCCGCGATTCTTTCGACTTCGCTCTCCACGTAGTTATCTTTTTCTTTCATATGCGCTTCCTCTTCGGCTTGTTTCAAAAGAGACTCTTCTAGGAATGTTAACTCTGTAATATCGTAAAAAGAAAGACATTACAGGATCGTAAAAATATAAAATATTCTTTCATTGGTGAACTTTATTTAATATTGATTTGTGCCTGGGCGTTACAAATGTAAGAATATTAAAGGGAACTGAGTGTTACGTCAGTCATAACCCATAAGTGTAGTGCTACCAACTCGCCCGGTCAATTAATTTAGATACGAAATGATATTTGCATGGAATGTTTTTATATTGATATGAGATATATTTATGAAACAAACTGGCAAGCTTGGCGTCCATGCCGATCCAGGGCCCGGCAACGATGGCGGTGGCGGTGGGACGTCCTTTGGGATCCGGCTCCATGAGCGCCGTCACTTGCTCCTTGCACTCCGTCGACAGCTGGTTCACGATGTTTGTACGGAAACGCCACTTGCGCATTATCTATAATACATTGAGTTATATGTTAGTAGTCTATGGAGCAACTCATTGATAAGACTGCAGTAATTTCTTTAGGCAAACTTTATAGAGTTCTAAAAATTGATAGGAAGGACCTATGTAAGGTAGCAGTTTTAAGTAGAAAAGAATAGTCTGAAACCGTAGCCTTTAAATTATTAACCAAAAGAGTAATGTTTAATCACAATGACCTGCTTTTCGTATAGTTTCTTGACCGAGGTTTCATTGAAGGGGAGAGCTTTGTTCAGCATTGTGTATAGAATGATTCCAATCGACCACATGTCCGCCATCTTAGGCAGGTAGGGCACTCCCTTCAGCACCTCCGGCGCGGCGTACGACAGCGAACCGCAGTACGTCTCGCTCAGGATGTCGCGGTCTCTCTGTCGCACGTTCCTCGCGAAACCGAAATCTGTTATCTTCACATTGTAATTTGCCGTTATAAGAATATTCTCGCATTTTAAATCTCTATGTGCCACGTTCATTGAATGTATGTACTGCATGCCCGATAGGATCTGTCGCATCCATAATCTGCTCTGATTCTCCGGCACTGCGCCATGCTGGGATAAAAAGTCTAATAAATCCCCATTCTCGGCGAAGCGGAGGAAGATAAAATATTTAGCTCTTCGTTGAAAGATATGGGACACGTTGACAATATGCGGGTGATTTACACGTATCAGAACGTCCAGTTCGCGGGGCAGAAATTTTGAGAGGTAATCGCGCGGTGCCTGCGCCGTATCGATCACCTTGCACGCTAATATACAGTGTCTCGTCTCGTCAATCATCTGAGTTGCTTTGAAAACCTGCAACACATGTTTATATTTATCCACCGACTTTATATTAAATCATGTTACCTTGGCTTTAATCACGAAAAAATGGATCAAGAGAATTCTACAGCCAGCTGTCGCGCGATGTTTTAATGGTTAATTAGTATGATGGAAAAACTGCAAGAAACTTACTTTTGCATACGACCCTTCTCCTATTATCTTTTCTAGGATGAAACCCTTTTCCTGTAACACATTCAAATCGGATGGGGTCGTCGAAAGTTCCAATTTATCACCCTGTCCCATTTGTGGGTTACCCTCATAATGATTTAATTTTTACTTTAATGAATAACATAATAATTCAAATCTAAATTTCATAAATAATATTATAATTTTGATTAAACTTTAGTCATTCATGTTGAAATAAATTAACTTTAATTTTATCAAATTCCGTTACATATTTACGTGTCAATTGTCACTCGAATTCACTTAAATGTCGCGAATAATCAAATTTGACAATGTGTCAGATATCCGGACATATCTTCTAGATTATACTTTTTAATATTAAAAGTGGTGTGCTTTACAATTTTAAACAATAAATTCGATGTTCATTAAATGACCCTAAAACACGTCAATTATTTTAAATAATTATTACCAAAGCATACTTCGGGTCAGTGCAATTGCCATAGGTGGTTTTCGTGACATCCTTTCATTAAGTTAAAAAAGAGGTAAATTTATAAAGCCTCAAGCTTTATGTTATGGAATTTATAAATCAAAAATATATTAATCTAATTAATGGTTATATTTGTATTCAATCGACGGAGATAGAAGCGATGAGTAAGTAAATAATAGACATCGGGTAAACAGTTTTTTTTATTTTACATAGTTTATCTTCCTTTATTTGTTTCCCTTTTACTCCGGTCTTGTTGATTTCTTTTTGAAGAGATTTTTTGGCCCAGTGTATGTGTTTAACTCTGTAAAATGATTGATCCTGTTAAAATAAGAATTCTAGAGTCTTACGATAAAGGCTCTATTTGTTTGTCTGAATACAGTTATCTCAAATATTAAATTGTTATCGAAATTTAAATAAAAGTTTGAAATCAAATACACTTTAAATCTGTTAGATTTGGTATTAGTTTTGAAATACAATGTATTTACCAGGAAGAGGTAGAGCCGGTGACGTCAATAGAATTGTTGACCAAAGACTTCTCAGGCAGGCAAGACTCCTTCTCATTTTTAATCAACTCCGTAGATTCCAACTTCTTCTGAAGGTGGCTTCTTTCTTCTTTCGCTTTTTTGAAAGCTAGCGTTTCTTGTGGTGTCCATTCTAAAATAAATATTTCATGTTGAACAGCTTTAATTGACCTTTCTTAGATGATCATAAAAACGTGACAGACGGAAAGAAACTTCCCTACATCACACACATAACGCTCGTTTTCGTTTGGTCATTAAAACAATTAACAATTAAAAACAATTATCTACCAATACTAACCTAGAAGTCTAGAATCCATTGCGATCCATTCACTACTTATGATTTGTTCAACTTTAATTCTGTTCTGGTAGTTTGGCTCGAGCATCAAGGCGACAAGTCGTTTGCAATTATCGGAGAGTGTGTCGGCATAGCGGGACCTAAACCTCCAATTGCGATTGATCTGCGCCTGGTATAACTGCTTGATGTGTTTGTCTTCAAATGGCATTGCTCTGTTCAACATTACGTACACGACCACGCCCAGTGACCAGATATCAGTCGGCTTTGGGAAATACGGACATCCATGTAATATCTCCGGCGCAGTGTACGATAGTGAACCACAAAATGTCTCACTGTGTACATCTTTCATCTTCTTGTCGACGCAAGTCCTCGCGAATCCGAAGTCGGATAACTTCGCGTTCTTGTTCGCTGTCAGTAATACGTTTTCACACTTAATGTCCCTGTGCGCTATCTCTAGTTCGTGCATGTACTGAATCGCGAGTGACAATTGTCGAGTCCAAATCCTAGCCTGGTCCTCTTGCACTGCACCGTTCTGTAGGATATATTCCAGCAAGTCCCCATGTTCCATGAAGCGTAGGAAAATGAAATATTTATATCTTCTCTGAAATATACTATGTGTGTGCACTAAATGTGGATGGTTTAGTTTTATCAACATATCGATTTCACGCGGTAGGAATTTCTTGACGAAGTCTTTGGGAGCTGTGTTTGTATCGATCACTTTGCATGCTAGTATAACTAGCTTGTCACTTTTACTGGGATTTCTGTACTCCGCAAGATAGACCTAAAAGGTAATTGAAATTTAGATGTTATTTCTATTAAGTGTACAATTAATTAAATGTTAAAAACCTTTGCATATGATCCTTCATTAATTTTCTTTATAATTTTGTACCCGCGACTGGCCAACGTCAATTGCTCGGAGCCAGATAAACGTAAGTCATTGTCTAATACCTGTTGACCGAATAAAGAAATATTATTTTCCCGAATATTTCGTATGCCACAAAGGATCTGTACATTTAGTTACCTTAGACTTATCCTCCATTTATTCTTTCTTTTGTTTTGCTGTTATGCTAGCTAAAGATTTTATCATTTCACTAGCCTAAAAATAAATATTAATAAGTACACAGTCAATACAATCGTAATCAATATTTAAATTTTATAGAAAATTTACTCTATACGAAGAAGTTCTTTGTGTGTCGTCCCAAATATCGCCCTGTTTTTTTGCAGGATTTTTGTGTATTTCAGATAGTCGCTTACGTCCTTCTTTTGCTCTATTTAAAGCTGCTTCTTCTACGGCGTTAAGTGCTACAAAGTATTATACAATATCATTTCCTAGCTCGAAACGTAATTAATAATAAGAAGATAATTTACCCATAAAGACATAAAGAATGATTTTTCGATTTAACTTACTGGTCAGTCTACTGTCCATAGCAATCCATTCAGATTTTAAAATTTGAGTCGCGTTGTAACGAAGACCGGGGTCAGGTTCGAGTAAATGTTTCACCACAGATTTGCACTCCAAAGACAAAATTCCAGCAACGCGCGATCTGAATCTGTACTTCTTTCCCATCTGTTGCTCATACAATTTTTTCATGCGAGTGTCGTCGAATGGCATAGACTTATTGAGCATAACAAATAGCACCACTCCCAACGACCAGAGATCTGTTGGCTTCGGTAGATACGGTTTGCCGCGCAGTATTTCTGGTGCAGCGTATGACATAGATCCACAATACGTCTCACTCAAAATCGGCTGATCATCTTCATCAATACAAAACCTTGAGAAGCCGAAATCCGAAAGCTTCACATTAAAATTTGCCGTCAGAAGAACATTCTCTGATTTGATATCCCTGTGGGTGATCTCTAACTCGTGCAAATACTGTAGCCCCAAAGCGAGCTGACGCAGCCAAACTCTCGACTGATTTTCCGAAACGCAGCCGTTTTTTAATATGTAACCGAGAAGATCTCCATTTTCTGAATATCTCATAAAAATATAATACTTAGTTTTTCTTTGAAAAATACTATGCACGTGAATCAAATGTGGATGATTCAATCGAATGAGAACATCTATTTCCCGCGGCAAAAACTTTACGACAAAATCTTTGGGGGCTTTCGCAGTTTCTATAACTTTACAAGCGAGCGAGACTTTATTGTTTTCTTTTAAATATTCGGTTAAATAAACCTGAAATACACCAATTATATTAGCAAATAGTCATTAACATCTAAAATATCTAGATTAATTTGTTTTCAGATCACTAATTGTCTAGTTTTAAAGTGACCTTTGACAAACCAATACTTTATCGCAGTGTACCACTTCAAAGAAGTTATGTTGGAAAGACACGTACTTTCAATGGATTTACCTTAGCGTAAGCACCTTCACCTAAATATTTAAGAAGTTTGTATCCTTTTGAAGCTAACGTATTTTCTTCCGATGTGGTCGATTTCAATTCGGTCATGATAAGCTTATCGCAGAGTTAAGAACCAGGGTCTCCAGTTCAAAGTTATCGGGGCGCGGCGACACGGAGGGCGATATTTTCGAAAGCGGCTTTAAATACATCTTGAGTTTTGTAATGTGTAAGATATATAAGAATTTAGATTACATTTTACGTGAAAATGTGACAAATGTTTGACATTGACAATCTTGTATTCTTCTTATTGAAAAGAAGATTCAAAGATAAAGGAATCGGATATCAAAGAATCTTTTCCTACCTTTATAGTCTTTGGATTTGAACGTATGGACGTTCTCCATTAATTTCTTTGGAAAGAAATTCCAAAGCAGTTTATTTGAGTCTTTAATTTTGTCTGCTGCGTATTCTCAGTAGACACAGATTTTAAAGCAATTCACGTAGCTATCCTATCCTCGGTTGTCTGATGAGATATTTTTGTTTTGAAGAAAATAAATAAAAGCAAAGTCTACATTCAGTCTTTTATTGCACACATTAATAAATAAAATTCATATTATACTAACATTAAAAAGTTGTAACAAATAACAAAATATTAGGAATGATAATTAAATTTTATATTTTGAAATCTATTTTATAAGTAACAAGATATGACTAAATACGATACAATATGAAATATGTAAAAGTTTTGTTGAAGTTTGGAAAAATTATATATCACATTTACAATAAATATTATTTCAATTATAATTCTAACTGTTTCTTATTAAGGAATTCCCCGGCTAAAGATATTCTTTGCAAAAAAGATGGCGCTGGCGTCAATAATAATTCATATTTATCTCCATCAGGATGATCTGGGTACAACTTTTCTTTGCGGATTCTCTCCAGCATGTACTGCGGCTCACATTTGGGTTTCCTCTTCCAATCGTTATTCAAATAATCTTGAATTACTTTCGGTAATATTTTTATAGCTTCCTTCGCTTTTGTTGTACTCGGCAATTGTAAATTATCATTTCCACTATATTTTTGTACAACTATTATATCATCGATGTCGACTTTTTCTTCAGGTTTTTTAGGTTTCACTTCTTCTTCATCTCTTGTACCTTGTTCACCTTTTACATTAGTCTTCTCATAGTAACTATTGATTCTATCTTTAACGATATCGCTTAGTGTTGTTTCATTTATAGTCTTCTCTCTTTCTGTTCCATCTATATTCACATAGCCCGTCCTTGTCTCCGTTTTAATCAGTTCCTCTTGTTCTAATTCTTTCTCGTCTTCTTCAATTAAGGTTACATTTGAAATTTCAACTGTAGAATTGCTTGCAACTTCACCAACATTTTCTTTAGATGTACTGACATTAAGAGATGCATCAATCATTGTCATCAACTGAATGTTATCTTCCTCTTCTAATATTTGATATATTCTGTGTACTTCGCTTATATTTATACTATAAAATAGAAAAAGGTTTCAGCACTTTTGAAGATTATCAGTTACTAGGGCGAACACGAATCCATTCGTGTAAATTTATAATAGAAAAAAATCTTTATTAGTAGCCTATGTGTTCTTCCAGACTTTATTTTACATCTATGACAAATTTAATTGAACTTCCATCCATCCATCCATCCAAACTTTCGCAATTATAATACATATTAGTAAAATTTTATTAAAAATACTAAATTTTTTGAAATTTCACACAAAAGAAGTCGCAAGCAAATACTAGTATGTAATTTTTTTTTTTGTCAACTGGTGTCAAACTTACCCTTGCCTGGCTTCATGACAG